TAAAGATACGCATGCTAGGTCTATGGCACCCACAGGTGACACTGTACTTCATTTTTGGTTCAATATAATCTACGTAAGGCCCAGTATAGGCCTTCAAGACTTATGACGTCACAGTGTTGGGTGCGGGCGTCTGGCGGTGGCGTCTTCACTCACATTTTCTTTTCGCAAGTTTTCTCCTTTACCAAGCGTCGCGTCGCGGTAAGAATAGTGATTTTGAGATTGTGAGATTGTACTTTACAAATGGGCAAATTTTTAAAAAATTTTACAAATAGGCAAATTTAAAAAAAAACTTTAGTGTTCCTTTAAACGCCAGAAGCCTCGAAGAAAGATGTAAGCTTGAAGAGATGAAGAAGTCGTGAAGGTGGGCCTACTTTGTAGCAGACGTTTCGGCAAGAGGACTTGTCTTTTTCAAGTCTGTGACTGTTTGCCTTAGCGGGTGTTTGTTTATGAGGGTACGACGCATAAACATACACGCGCGGTATAGGGTCAGCCGTCGCTGCCTTGAAGAAAATGACACCGCTTCTCGAAACTTCGGCTCCAGAGACAACTTCATATTCACGAATGGTTTACAAACCTTCATAAAGTGGTCACCCTCCGCGGTGGTCTATAGCAGTTGTGCTGCCCGACGGCTGACCCAAAAGTCAGGGGATTGAATCCCGGCATCGGCGGTCACATGTTTGATGAAGGCGATAAAGGCTTGAGGCGTACTTAGGTTTAGGAGCACGTTAAAGAAGCCCAGAGGGTCGAGATTGCTGGAGCCCTCCACTACGCCGTCCCTCATAAACTTGCATGGTTTTGGAACGCTAAAGCCAGACTAATGCTATTATTAACATAACACAACAACGGTAGAGGGAACGGTTAGACAAAAACAAACAAACAAAACATGGTTCGCGAAAAGAGCGCTGACATAGCCAACTCACCATCGTTCTTCTAGGTGCGACAATACGCCGACGCAAGGTCAACAGTTTACCCCAAGCCCTTGCACGTGACACTGATGCCTTTCTTGTATTGCCGCTACTAGCGCAGTAGTTTGGTCGCACATTGTCCCAAGGCTGGCCCGGTTCTGATTATTTTTCTCACCTATTTTCCGACATTATCGCCGTCTCTTCGGTCGCGTCTCTCGAGCTGATACGACAGAGCGATCGTCGATTCACTTTTCGAGTATTCTGGCAGCGGCCCACTTGCCCTGTGCCCAACGCGCAGTGCGGACTTATCTATGTGCTCGCGAGGTACCTTCGGCTTCCTTGGAGGTGACTCGTTGAGGTGAAAAAAACAAACGCTCTTTTTTCTATTCTCTTTGACGTTCTGTGTGCAAGCAGCCAGTCACCTGTCGGAGGACTCCTTACACAACTTTTCTGTCAGGCGGCACGGTTCTTTGTGTCTGATAGCGAGAAAGGATAAGAAGAGATCGCAAACACAGCTTTTTAATGCAGATGGCGTAGGCAACTCTCATACTTGCGTCTGAGAGTTGCCGAAATAAGATTGACCCCCCTTCTTCCTTCCCCGCTCGTATTATGTTCTCCCTTCGCGTCACGCCGCCCACATCACAAAAATACATCCCGCTAAAAATACGAGAGTATCAATTTGCACAGGTAGTTAGGTACACATGGCAGATATTGAAGCGTATGCGAATGAAGTGTTTGTTTACCATTGGGTAATGTTCAAGAACTTCTGTATCATGTGTCACTTGGTGTGCACATTGATGGCGTGGTCATCGCGCAAGTTGTTTCGGTAGCGACTTCTTCGTGTTGACGTTCACTGGTGTGCCGGTGATCTTGATAATGACACCGAGGTTGTCAATGGCGTTTTGCACGAGACAATTTATCTATATAAGCGGCCATAATGTGCGATACAGTCGAAAGGTACTCAGGTGATTAGAGTAATTGGAGTGTGCGAATGCTATGTCTTCCCGAAAGAAATTATTCTTCTGAGATAAATCGGGCAAGTTCGGATAACATGGTCAACTTTATCTCTTCCCGACGTCCCGCAGTGGCCCGGTAACCAGTAGCACTATTGTCTGCCTTTTTAGTTCTAGTGATGGTTTTGATTTGAAACCCCACTTGAAATAAGAAGGCAGATAATAGGGACGCGGCCTTTGCAGAACGTCGCAAAAAAGATAAAGTAGACCGCGTTACCGGAACATTATATGTCGATTATTGCTTCCTGATTTATCTCAGGAGGATAATTTCCTTCGGGAAGACATAGCCTCCGAACACTCCGATTACCCAAATTGCACGTCAACTGTCGTGATTTCCACGTAAGGAAAGCGACTGGAAACACCACAATACCAGCTTTGAGTAGCTGAACACTAACAATATTACAGGGCTATCCGCGCTCACCCGTATATTTCCCCCACCCCTGTGCTGGGTAGCGAACCGGATGCTATTATATGATTAACCTCCCGGCATTCCTCTTCTTTTCTCTTTCTCTCTCTCTCTCTCTCTTTGGTGTATGGGATAGCCATACTTTATTATTATATGTTTGTACCTGCATTTCAATGGTTGCGTGTAGCAAAATGAAACTCGTGCCGGAAGTTTGACACGTCCCCGCCTCACACCCACCCCCTCCCTCACCGACTGTGCCAGCGTCTGGAGTCGGTGTTCCAGCACACAAAGTGTTAAAGCACTGAGCTGTTCTCGTTTGTTATAACTACAGCACCGCTATAAACACTCGATATAGTCTATATGCCATCAGGCATGTACGAACTCGCTGCATTCCTCACACGAGTGGCGCTGTTTCAGTGCCCACAAACATCCGTGAGAATTTTAGGCGATAAGCTCCTTGTAGCGTGGATTGTGCGTCCCTCATTGTAGTGCGTAACCACCGGGGGCACATACTCGCAAGAGCGATACTTAGAATGCCCGCTGGATGGCGGTACTTGTATATGATGAATACATGATGAAAAGATGTGAGATGGTGGGGCTTGGAGTGTTCACTATAGATAGACTGACGGACGGATGGACATGCAGATAGACTGACGAACGCACGGACGGACAGACAGACAGAGGGGCGGGCGCAAGGACGCAGTAATGGACAGACAGATGGACGGCCGCACGAACAGACACACGGACGCACGGAAGAACGGAGGTACGAAGGACGCATGGACGGGCACACAGACGGATGGACGGTCACACGGATGAACGGACACACGCATGGACGGAAGCAAGAACGAATGGACGGACGGAAGCACGGATGGACTGACGAACGCTTCGCCCCACCAATCATCATTCACTCCGTGTATATGTTGTGATTTTTTTTTCGGAGCCCGAAAAATTGTGACGATCACACGCATGATCAATCACACGGGTCAACACTGCGCTGGAAACAAAGAGTTACCAAACAGTGGGCATGTTAATGTAAAATAAACACGATGCACACCAACACTTGCGCCGAATTCTATGTTAATTTTGATGTTAACATGGGCAAATACATTTATTGTCATTATAACAATTCTGGGACCATGCGCTGCGTAGTCTGTCCACTAAGGCGTTCAGACTAGGCAGGGCTGCTAACATATGGCAACATCGTGATAGCAACATGTACTGAATTTAGTAACAGACAGTGTGATGGCGTGATGATGACCCTGCACTTGACAATGATCAGTTACCATGTTCTGTTCATTTACGTTCCGATGGTTCTGAAACAGCAAAACCTTCATGAAGGGCAGGTTAACATCCGGAAAAAAAGTTTGGTGGATTAATGAGTTCGCAACGGCTGTGTGTCTGCCCTGTCTTGAAAGATAAATTCTGATTACAAATATTCCAGCCAGGAAGCAGCTCCTAATTGTGATCTACACTAACGTTTGAGAACCTCTAAACAACCTTTTTATACGCGAGGAACGACCGCGTCATTCTCCGTCTTTACGGTACAATTCGTGACGTCAGCAGTCTGTTTACGTGGGCCCATGAGGAAATAAGCTCTCAATTAGTCCGCATACGAATAATAGTTCTGAGTTGTCCCCTACCAGGCTTTGCGATGCAGTCACCCTCTAGTCCTATTTTGTCCTGGTTGTACATTGCGTGATCATCCGATTTACCCTAGTTGTCTTCATTTTCGACTGCGCGAGCGGAGATAAAAGTGGGCTGCCAAAAAACTCGTGGTTATGATAGGCTCAGCTTTTATTGTTGGCATTGTCAATGCGTCTTATTGATGAAATAGGTGGCGAGGAGGCGGTAGTGCCTGTAAGAAAGATAATGAAGGTGAAATAGAAGCCACTGCCTCGTGTTTAATGTAGGAGTGGTTTTAGTAGGGGCCCCTGAAAGGGCCACTCACCAAGCTCTCAAAATACAAAAAAACGAACGCAATATGTCCTCGTGATACTTCTTGTCCTTCTTGCGTCCTTCTGTGACGCAGACAGTATAGTTCCTACGACGTCCATAGCTTACATGCTCTCCATCTGTCAATAACGCGAAATATACAACGTGTTGTTTGTCTCCTGCACTGCTTTGTCATGCAAGTGCCTATTCGTTCTTCATTGTCTCTCTTGAATATCGTGCACAATCAACCGATCACGCTTAATTTTGTGTGACTACAACCACGCAAGCGGTGATAACAGCGTGTAGACAAAAAGCGTGAACTGCTGATAGTCTCTAGCGCTAAGTGCTGCCATTGTTCACGTTCTTTTGAGAACTAAGGGGTGAGGAAGATACATCGCGTGGGGGAAGGGTAGCGAAGGAGAAAACAAAACCACCCCTCGTCTTTTAACGTGCGGTGGTAAGTGGCCCTTTAAGTTAGTATTGCTCGGCATCAACAGAGCGGACGTTCATGCTTGTCATGAAGCCCATGCTGCATACACTTTTTTTTTTTTGGCCGGTTGTGGTGCTTACGAGGACAGCGTCCTTCAGTGTAAATAAAAGCATTTTCCACCGGTACAAAGTTACGCTATACGCGTAGGTCAGTGCAAATCTGACGGTGTTACGTAGAGCTCCGGTCATTCCCGCCCTTGAATTTTCGTAAAATTCAAAAGCCGCTGTTTCAGGCGCTGCTCGACGTCGTCTTGCCCGCGAGGACGCCGTTGACGCCGTTCATTTCGAGGGCGCCGTTTTCTGTGGGCTTGGACGACGCGTCGTCTTGGCGAACTTCGTCTTCGCCGTACATGTTGGTGACCCGCTTGGCGTAGTACGACATGACGAGTTGGCACACCAGGCCGAGCGTCATGAAGAGAATCGTGACGGCGTGGTAGACCACTCTCAGTTTGTCGACGTCGTAGAACGAGCAGTTGCCCCGGTGGCCACCCCGGTCTTCCCAGACGAGGCAGGTGGCGTCAAATATGGCGGTGTAGATTAGCGGGTACGGAACGGCACCTGAAAATAGGAGGACATTTTTTTTAGAAGCTAGGATAAAAGCGTAGATATTTAGAACTATGCTTGAGAGTTAGAGAGAGTGCTGCAGAGGTGACATAACTGAGTATGTTGCTCTGATACTTATAGCCTAGTTACACACTTTGAAATAGACTCCTTTTAAGGGTTATGCATGGCTTGCACTGAGGTCGTTAAAACCGCCATGTTGACGCACTGTACAGCCCAAGCAAAAGTTCGGGACATAATGTTTGTACGTTTTCGTCACTTGCAAGCTTTCTTGTTATTGAAGCAAAGAGTCAAACAGAATTCTGGCTGCATCGTTATTGTATCGAAGCAGGTACGATGGTATTATGCTACGTTGACGTCATCAAGGCCGCCATTTTAGGAAACGAGTACGTTACAAAGCTGTGACGATGACGTCAAGTGCAAGTTATCTATGAGCAAGGGCGTTGCACTAACACCTTACGGTGTCAACGTTGCATAGGCGCCAACCAAGGTGAAAATATTGTATGGTCGTTTCAATTACTCGAGTGTCAAAAAGCCCGCTTGTAGCCCTTGCTCACCCCATTTATAATTACATCGCTTCCAGGCGTGACAGCGTAATTGTTCTGACGTCGATGTGGAATAGCAAAGTTGCTTTGACGTCATAGTGCCGCTAGGAGACGCTGCAGTAAAAAGGCTATCGGCGTGCCTCTAGATTAAGCATGTTTTATCTAGGAACCTAGACGGATGCAAGAATAGCTGTGTTTGGTCGTTCTTTGCTTCACTCTTCTTCCTCATACAATGTGCTGCGGGCGCTCTGATGGACAACTATAGTAACAATTGTTAGGGCTTAACGTCACAAAACCACCATATGACTATGAGAGACGCGGTAATGGAGTAATCCGGTAATTTTTAACCACCTGGGGTTTTTTGGCGCGTACCTACAGGTCTAACCAAGTGGGCCGTAGGCATTCTCGCCTCCATCTAAAATGAGGTCGCCGCGGCCGGGATTCGATCTCTTGACCTGCCGGCCAGCACCGCAGCCGAGTGCCCCAGCCACTAGACCACCATGGCGGGTCAACTGGACAACTAGTGGCCACATCACCATCAGATGACCTGAAATGGTGGAACTGAAATTCGATACTGAGAACTCAGATGCAGTGACGTAGCCATAGGGTAGCAAACTGGGCCCGTGCCCCCCCCCCCCCCATCTCGAAAATTTTTGTTCTCGCCATGGCATATACAGCACAAAATGACACTCGACCACATCTGTCTACCCAGGCCCCAATTCAGACAAAAATGGGGCCGCGTCGAAAAAAATTTCTGCCTATGCCCCTGCTCAGAAGCGATACATTTTCTTCCTTTCAGCTGAAACTTCGAGTAGTTGATGCAAGGTCTCGAAATCGAGTCATGTGTTGCGCTTCAACAATGTTTTTAGTGTGTCCCGGTCATTTGCGTGTATAGCAGAAGTTTGTTTATCTGGCAAGTAGCTTTAATGCAAGTAACGTGCACGAATTACAAATTACAACACGCAAAACATGTGAGAGGGAGAGGCCAACAAATAAGAGTGGCAAGGCATAAACTTTAACTAGAAGAAAAAAAAGCATGATACGTTAGTTCGCCATGTAAAATGGGGAATGGGAAGGATGAAAGATAAGAAGGTGTATTAGAGGAAAGCTAAGCACAGAGTCCTTATCACTGAGAAGGATTTATCACTAAGCGAGTTGGTAATTTATGAAGAACTGCGCAAAATAAACTGGCACAAGGAAGACACATGCACCAGCGCATACGTGGCTTTTTTTTCTTTCTTGTTCTTTATATCTGTGTTTTTTATAACAAACCTTTATTTGCAAGGGTGCGCTTGTGCTTGGGTCTTCCTTGTCCCAGTTTATTTCGCACAGTTCTTTGCACTTCTTATCATAACAAGTCACTATTCCCAGCACACTCTTTCAAAGCACAGCTTCAGTTGTCTGTCAGTTCAAAACCTCCTCGGGAAGTTACTTGTGTAAGTGCATTGTTCTTAAATATAGAATCACTGTCTCACAATGCGTAAACACTGCCTAAAATCCCAGCAGTTCCCAACAATGCCTCAGGAGCGGCAACGGTGCGAAAGTGCCTAAACGAAAATTTACATCAGCATGCCTCAGTGTTTGATTGCAGTAGAACGAAAAGAATGTATGGAATATTGAGAGATATAGGTGTTTAAAACCTTCCCAAGTTGGGCAGTAATACAATTTTATGCTCTGTTGATCACGCATCTTAAAGGCTCCTGTGTCATACACTAGCGGCTTGAAGATGAATGATTCACTCAAAGGAGCTTGAAGCAAGCATTTATTAGAATTGTGTCTTGTAAATGTACGCTCCAAGCACTAGTTTAAAATTAACAGATAATAATGAGTTATTATTATTTATGAGTTGCTCACAAACGAAGCAGTCATTGAAAAAGTACAATGGTATACATAGGATTATTAACCCTGTTATTAGACTAAACTACATTTGTCTTACCTGCTGTTTTCTTAAAAAAAAATCAACAGCTGTATGCGCCACACAGATTACTTTGTAGACAGTGTTCTTGCCAACATTTTTTTTAATCATGGATATCTGGTCATCTCAATTGACCTAACTGGGTATATATGAATCAGCAAATAGACGTCATATTTCTTTCATACTTGGTCAGGCAAATGTAAACCGAGAATTCAGGTTAGGCAATGCATGGAAACAACCCTGCTAACAAGGCAACCAGTGATGGCTGCCCTGAGTTTGTCGAGCATTTTCAACAGCGCAACATCAGACAGAACACTGTGTTAACGTAGTCTAGTCAATAAATCTTGCCGAACCGTAAAATTATGAGCACGCTAAAATTTTTTTTTTGTCATCCTGGAGTTATAGATATTATTCAACTTGCATAAGAACACACATAGTTTGCAGTACACCTAAACAAGCGCGAAATCTGGTTAGTCTTACCGAGAAAATTTAAGCAGCCGGCGAGCATTCCAACTGCTATTCCCTTGTCTGCTGGGTCAACACACCTGCGTCACGAGGGTGAAAGAAAAAAAAAACGTTATGTCATTTTCTTAATGGTGGCTTCGGTGAGTCTTCCCTAAGGACATAAGAAGCAAGATAATTGCTATTCAGACGGAAAATATACATCCAGTACACCCTCACTTTGTAAAGCACGTTGTGAAAAAAGCACCAAGACATCGGTACAAAAGTCCTCGTTCTCTGCGCTCCATTGTTTGGTGTGTCTGTTATTCCAAGGTAAAGTAAGTACCATACATTCATATTAGCAAGGTGTTTCAGCGCGCGAACAAAGGAAAAAGGACAGGGTAGACAGAAAGAGCGCTGCTTCCAACTAACTTTATTTCGCAGAGTGGCATGAATTTATACGTCTAAAAAGGAAAATTACAGAGCATGAATGTAAAAAAAAAAAACACGCCCAATCTACACACCAGTAACAGCACGTGTGACAGGTCCTCTAATGCCTCAAAGCCAGCCCAGCCAGGTAATCGTGTTCAGCCTGGGATAAAGCAACCGATGAAGTGCTTACGCATTTATCTCCTAGCACGTGTATTTTTTCTGCTTCGATAATTTCTCGGGTAAGTTGCTCCCTGTGCCTTGCCAATATAGAGCACTGATCAAAGAGGGGGGTGCACCCACAATCTCGGCAATGAATGCCAAGATGCCCTTGTACCACATTGTGCACATTGTTTCGGTGTTCTCGCAGGCGGTCGTTTATGCACCTGCCGGTTTGGCCGACATAGACGCACCCACATGTCAGTGGAATTAAGTATACGACTCCCACTGCGCATGGGACGTAGCATGTCCTGTGCGCGACAGAGCACACGGCAGAATTTGCGCGAGGTGTATTTACCCGTTTGCAAAGCTTCTGCAATTTTTCAGGTGCTGAAAAAACAACAAGAACGTTGGCGTCTCGAGCAATCTTTTTTAGCCTGTGTGAGACGTCGTGCACGTACGGTAGTACGACAGGCCGGCTCTTTCTGACGCTGTTGCGCTTATCTGGTTTGTTGCCTCGCATCACGACAGTGACCAGCTTTTCCGCCACTGAAACGAGAACGTGTGCGGGGTCTACCCTGTTTTTTTTTCCTTTGTCCGCGCGCTGAAACACCTTCCTAATATGAATACGCACCAACTAGCCCAAGCTTCCACTCTTGTGAGTACCATAGATTGTTTCCGCGGTTAAAATGAATTGACCTAAATAATGAGCATCCATTCAGGATTGTATGGAAGGATTCATTCTTGAGCAGCATTTTTCCCCTATGCATGAAATTCGAGTTGTTGCGATATTCAAAGCGAAATCTGCTCACTTGCATCTATATTTTAGAGCGTATTGATGTGGTACAAATGCCCTGCCAGCAAGCAGTTGTCACCTTCAGGTGTTTTGAGCCGTTATAAAGCCCGGTTCAATGCACTGTAGTAAAGCTGTGGCCAACATGCCTGGCTTTCTTATTTTCTTCCATTCGGAGCTTACTGAAATCTGGCACCAGACGTACATACGTCCAAGCCTCGGCGCGACATATATAATCAAAAATATTTTTGGTTCCAGAATTAATCACGTCACTTCACTGTCACTGTGAAAAGCCACCGAGGAACACGAAAATTGATTGAATGGTATTTAGATACCTGAGAGTGATGAGCGTGGATCCTACCCGAGAAAGCTGCGATATCAGCTTTCCCAAGCTGATGATGAACACGAGGATGAAGAGGTTTTGGCAAGGGAAGTCGCAGAAATCCGTTAGCCATTTTCGGAAGCGCAATGTCGAGACCCACAGCTTCTGTTATGCAGGAACACTCCATGGATCCCTGAAACAGGACGCGATTGTAGCAGTCACTATTAAAATTGCGATATGAGTATAAAACACACGAACAAACAGTTCGTGCCACACTTCCAAGCATTTTATTGTATCACAGAGGCGTACGTGCAATAACAGTGGCGTCGACGAGAAGCTCACGAAACGTGTTCAACATTTTTATAAAATATTTCTGGAAAGTTATTCTATTACAGACGATTTAACGAAGTGCGATGGTTGAGCTGCCAAGCTCGGTACTATAGGCGTGTGTGAAGACCATCCCTCCATGATCGAGCTATATATATATATATATATATATATATATATATATATATATATATATATATATATATATAGTCAGCCTACTACGCTCTATTAAGCAGCCTGTTCTCTTACGGTTTTCGCAACATTAACCAGACTCGCTGTTTCACTGCATGTCTCTAGATAATTTATAACCATCCTAGTGACGACGCCCTTAATTTCAGCAGTGCTAACGCGATTCCGTTAAAGCACTCCTCTCGCTGACATTACGGCGAAAAAAAATGGCATGGTTCTTGAGACAAAAGCAAACAAAGCTTCGAGTGGGAATCGACCTGACGACTTCTGCGTGGCAAGCAGATAGTCTACTACAGAGCCTCACCCAGCTGCTTAAAAAACAAACAAAAAAAAAACCCCGACATATTCCACGCGTTCGTGGAATCGATGTAATGCGAAGCAGCGAGCGAGGAGCAAATGATGCTGTACATGACATGCATGTCATGATTGACATGTTAGAACTTATCATTTATGTTCGTCGTGCAGTCACGTCACGCAATACCAATTTTGGTGTTTGTCAAGTCAGCAAAACAGGCGCGAGCGCACAATGAGCGTGGCACTGTAAATCATGATGCATGTGCAACGCATGTAACGATTGTCATCTTTTGTAGTGATTTACAGGCGCACAGTACCTCCGCTTGCGACACGGTTTAGGTGCCCGTGCCCGACAGGCGAATGTAGGCTGGTGATTGAAAAGGCGAGCTGAATATGGTCCAATCACGCAAAATCGCGCACAGTTTTCGAAGACAAAGCTCAGGCGTCTGTCAAGTTTTCGTTGCAAAAGGATGGGGACAGCGCTCTTACACTTCAATAGCACTCTCCTAGTCCCTTCTATAGGTTGCTGACGTGGCTTCAGCGATAAAGACACTGCAATGTAGGGTGAGATTAGATTCTTCAAACAGGCTAGACTAGCTTAGCTTGGCGTAGTCTTGGTACTGACCCACATCACATCACATCACATCATCACTTTAATACCTTAAAGACCCCCATGTAGGGGGTATTACATAAGGGGTGGGTTACAGGTAAATGTACACCAGTTTTCAAATGGAAATGTGCGCGGTGACCTTCTCTTTAAATGTTGATGGACACGTGATGGCTGGAACGTCACAGGGAAGGCCATTCCAGTCCACTGCTACACGGGGGAAAAAAGAGGCAGAAAAAGTAGTAGTGGGAGCATGTGGACGGGCAATTTGAAACGCGTGGACAGTGCGGTGAGATATGCGCGTCGGTGGGACGATGTAGGGTGCTTGATTAAGAAGGCTGTGAAAGAACTTGTGTAGCAAACAAAGGCTGATAATGCGGCCACAAGAGAACCAAGACACCCGTGGGCTCCAACTAAAGATTCTCTCGAATTAATAGTATTGAGCACCGAGATGATCGCATGGTTTTTTCAAAAAAAAAAAAAGAAACATACTAATAATTGTTAGGGCTTAATTAACGTCCCAAAAGTGCGACATGATAGCGAGGGACGCAGCAGTGGAAGGCTTCGGGTATTTTGGCTCTTCGGGGTTCTTTAACGTGCATCTAAATATAATTACACGGGCCTGAACCATTTTCGTCTCTGTTGAAAATGCGGCCGACATGGCCACGTTTCTATCCCGTGAAATTTGTGAAGAAAAAGGAGGCTGTACTTTTGTCGCTGTTGAGAAAAGCTTGCACGTAACCTAGATCTAGTTTGTAGTCCGGTCTACTATTTTACAGTGCACAAAGATGGATTATACAACTGATTGGGTAATGAATTATTTATCTACTTCCAGAAAAGTATTTGAAATTAGCAAAGTCAACCTACGTTTCCTCTGTCGAGGCACCCCGCCGCGCATGGCGAGAAGTACGTGGCCGCTTGATCGACGTGGCAGATGGGCTGGAAGCGTCCAGTGGGACAGTCGCAGTGTTCGTTGCAAGGGTTACTCAGAGAAAGCCTGCGTAAGTATGACAAGAGAACTATTTCACACAAAATACTTTGCCGCAAACTTTCGCGTAAGGCAACCATCGTAGAGTCGGATACCGTGGAGTTTTCATTTAGGACTGCATAGAAGGCTAAAATACCAATCTGGAAGGCGTTTACCTGCCGTCAGTGTCGACATGTGTGCCCGCCAGTTGCCAGCCGGAGCAGCCGAGGAAAATGCCCGCGAAGAGGAAGGAAATGTTGATGAAGTCCGCGAAGGCTCCCAGGAGGCCTATTGTGCGTGCTCGTGGCTTCCAGAAGCGAATGATCATTCCTCCGAGAAAAGGCCAACCATCATTGCCAGTACCTTAGTGGGTCCTGCGCAATATTATTTCGATATTTCACGTTTACTTTATTAGTTTTTTTGCTGGCCAGACCTTTTGAAGATTAGTTTCCAGCTGTTCTAGGAGCAAAGCAGTCTAATTGAAAGACTATTGAGTGAAAAGATCTGATGCCAGTCGTGACGTGTAGGTTTGTTAAAAACTGAGTTCACCTATGTAAACCAGAATACCCTAGTTTGGGAGTATATAGGAAGCACCAAAACAATCGTGCGCCTTGGACACGTATGTACCATGGGCAAATCTTTTACGGCCGCAATGATTGTTCGAACTTTACCGGTGGCGGGCTCATCTTTTTCTATATTCATTGATCATTCGACATTCTGATAAAATAATTACATGCAGTCAGCCTCTTCCTTGATTCTTCTTTAAGACATCTCTAAAAGTGTGTGTTTAAGCTTCGTCTCTTGTCTGTGGTAACTATAAATATCCTGTATATAGTATTAGCACAAAGCGGTTAGATTAAGGTATGACTCATATCTGCTCATCTTAAGCATTACTATCAGCCTTACCTGGATTAATGTTTATACTCCCAGGTGTTCACAAGTATTGCAAAGCAGTGTATCTCATACGCAATTCAATATTTATTAATCAGAGGCATGAGTTACTTAAACAATGCTTTGTGCCCCCCCCACCCCACTGTTCCATAGCAATGCTCAACAAATATGTGTTATGTAGTAATCTCTTCTAAGAAGAATGGACTAACTGACTTGCGAGCACTCATAACACGTATTCGAGGTACTATATCAAATGGCACCAAGAAGAGCACCTATTACTTGAGATATTGGTGTTGAAGAGCATGGACACCTTAGTCGAGAAACCTCATTCTAGGCTAACGGACTCGTGAGCCGACTCACTGTCGTTGCCGACCTATGGGCATATCCATATTAGGCTTCTAGCGACCATGGCAGCACGATGTACTAATATTTTTCTACACAGTATAATGTCCGCGTCTTCCACACAGTTAGTCGTGTGAAGCTGTCAATATATATCACCCATCTCAAACATGTCAGACGCACAAAAATACAAAATAAAGACAGACGGAGACAGGTTAGGCACCGAGAGGTTAAACAACACGAGCGAAGAACGCCGTTCCAGCGAACCAGTCCTTCGATGGCGAACTTCAACGAACGAAACACGATTACGTCCTCACCTGTGAAGAGGCTCGCCTTTGACGCCGAAACTCGGTACTGGTTCTCGACGTACTTGGGAAACATGCTGACGTAGCCGCCGATCGCGTTTATGATAAAAACGAGGGTCGCCATTTTCCACATCAACACGGGGTTCTTGGAAAGGCGGCTCACGGCCGTCTTGAACTCTGCAGGAGAAGTAGGTGTCGTTAGCTTTCGTGCGTGTGTTCAAACCTTCACTTTATTTTTTTTCGAAACTGTTCGATTTCTTAACATAACGTTAATATGTCTAGAGAAGAATAGAAATTTCAAGGACTCATTTTTCTTTGTTAAATACTGTAATATTGAAAACTAACAGACAATGATAAGAAGCAAAGTATAGGGAATATTATTAGTAGTAAGTGCAATGTAAATTTGAAGGAAGTAGAGGGGACGAAAACATGTCTTGCCGCTGGCAGGGACCGAATTTAAAATGTTAGAAGATTTCAGGTTTGGTCCCTGTCATTAATATGATAGTTATTAGAAGTAACAGACCCTATACTGTTCTTGGTAGTATTGTCTGTTAGTTCTCATTGTTCATGTTTCTTCCATTATACTTAACGGGTAATGTTTGACTAGTATACGGAAAAATAAATGAAAGGGAAAAGTCGAGTAACGTTTCGGACTTGGGAAGCGCTCTCACCTCGAGCATCGTTAGCGATCTTATCGCCCAACGACTTCGGATTGGTCTTCTTATCCTCGCTGGTTGCGTGCGCAGAAGTCCTCCGGATGTGCTTGGGAAAGAGGGACATCGGCAGCGACATCACCGCCATGGCACCACCCCAGATGACGAACCCCAACCACCAGGCTCCGATCCAGTTCGGGTGCTTGCGGTTGATTCCGGGCTTCTCTGTTTTTGTGTGTTTAACACGCAGTGCAATATTAGAAACAAGTAAGCGTTGGAAGTGAGTGATTACTACGTTAGCGCGACCTATACCTCGCGGTAGTGGTTGTCAATCCTTCGTCAAAGGTAGATGCACCGTATATCCGAAAATGCTGGATGACGCTTGAGTTTGCCCTCGAGAGTAGAACGCGAAAGCGTAATCGGGCCCATTCACATCACCTCCTCGGTCGGTATAAGGTCGTTTTGCTTTTCGGAGGATACCTCAACCACGCCGCAAAGAAATGAACATCTGTACCCTCGACATTAGCCATTTCAAACTTTCCTACCACGCCTACTGAAGGTACAGTTGCGAAAAGCCCGGCACGCCACAGTTCTCCCTTTAGTGAATCAGTGATGTACATACCACAAACCTTCGCAGCTTCTCACTTTGTTGATGCTTTTGCTGTTAATGGTGGTCAATTATGTCAGAGAAGTTTGTCATATAGGTGGGCGTCTAAACACCCCACTCGTTGTATAATTATCATATCTTGACGCCTGGTGCGGTTCGACGCTTGTGCCGCGCAATATTACATCGTCAAGAGACTACTCGCATTACATGACATTCCTATAGTTTTTTTTAAAGCCCTTTCAATCAATAACGTGACTTTGTGATAGAAAACCTAAATGCCTCACAGATGGCTTGTGCCCGTGTCCCACTGAAGCGAAAGTGTTTTATGATCTATTCATCCCCATGCCCTTCGAATTTTCACTCACAGACGACGCTGATTTTCCGCTCACAACCAACGACGCCAACGCCGAAATTTGAGCGAAAATCAGGGCCAATCGCGTTAATTTTACGTAAATTAAGGGTATCAGCCGATGGAAGGTTATAAAGCCTTGCGAGACGTGCTGCAAAACGGTGAGTCCGGTTGTTGAAGCTAAAGACCTAAGTGGACACGCCGCTCAATCGAGTTAAGTGGGGCGACTGGCTCCACGTAATGTCTTGACAGAGGTACACCGAGATTGGACCCTTATGCGATGCGTACAAGCAGGGGCGCTATCACAAACCGCTAAATCGGCTGTCATGAAGGAACTTTCTCGAAATATTTTATATAAATGTTGAACATGTCTGACAAACTTCTCGTCGATGCCAATGTCCGTACGCCTATTCGATACGATAGTGCACTTTTTAAGTCTGACACTAACTCACTGTTGATGTGTTTTCTATTCATTACGCAGTTTTAAAACGATGGTACACTCGCTTAGCGTTGCAGGGATCCACGAAATGTTCCTGCATAACAGAAGCGGCGGGCCGCGACGACACCGACACCGAAGCCCCGCCGCGGTGGTCTGGCTAAGGTACTCGGCTGCTAATCCGTAGGTCGCGGGATCGAATCCTGGCTGCGGCGGCTGCATTTCCAATGGAGGCGGAAATGTTGTAGGCCCGTGTGCTCAGATTTGGGCGCACGTTAAAGAACCCCAGGTGGTCGAAATTTTCGGAGCCCTCCACTACGGCGTCTGTCATAATCATATGGTGGTTTTGGGACGTTAAACCCCCTAAATAATAATAATAATAAAAGACACCGACACCGAAATTGCTGCGACATGAGCTCTCAACGCTATCGCTTTAGCAAACGAAGCGAGAGACGTATCGCGTAAAATGCAGCATATATATGTTCGCTTTGCGAAGCCATCCGCCGTGGGAACTTGGCGACCATGGGCTGATAAGCTCGAGGACGCGGGTTAGACTTCCTGCCACGGCAATCAATTGGGACGACATACAAAAACTCGTGAGTACCAATATTCAGGTACACGTCAAAGTGATTCCTGGGTGCCCCAAGACGCGCCTCATAATCAGATTGTGTTTTTGGCACGTAAAAATTGAGAATTCTGATGCATGTATGAACTCTGTGAACCGATATGAAGATCACGCGCAGCAAAGAGGGCAGGCTCATAACCGTCTAATAAGACACGCGCCTATAGCAACAAGGTCAGGGCAAATCACATACAATCATATATATATATATATATATATATATATATATATATATATATATATATATAATATGTGTGTGTGTGTGTGTGTGTGTGTGTGTGTGTGTTTGTGTGTGTGTGTGTGTAATTGCCATGAAAACTTATAGACTGCCCACTAGTAATTATTTTTGTTGGGCCACCTTCTTTAAAAAGTTTGTATGGCGTTCTCATGTCTCCCTTCCTTTTCAGACGCGGTATATTTGTGGTTCAGTTAAGTGACAAAGATTTCAAGGCTGACTAGCCAAGTGCATTCACATTCATTCTTGCACCCGTCCGTCACTTCAACCTTGGTCCACGTAGCAGCGGTGCGTCATACACATACTCCTATGTTCGACATATTTGTTCACAGAAAGTTTTTGTTCTTCTTTGGGATGTTTCAAAATTACGTTGCTCTTTAAAGGTTAAGTGAAAAATGCGTCGCACTGCGCCATATTCGCGATTCTTTCTTCCAAAACTGTGCCACCCAAGTTCAAAAACTTCGAGGCATCATCGATGGAGGGTGGGACGGGACAAAGGTTAATCTCCTCTTCCCCCACTTCACCTGAAGAAAACTGCTGAGCTTTAAATAATGCTTATTATTAATTAACAAATTCGTACACACAGTGGTCATGCATTATGATCGTTATACCTCATGACACTTGATGCTGCAGGATCCATTATTACTGCGATGGTGTTAAAAGCTTGGTTAGCAGCAGTTCCTGTGTCGGTGCAGGCGTCGTTGGTTGTGAGCGAAAAATCATCACTTCGTCTGTGACCGCAAAACTAAGGAAATGCAAATAAAATGAATAATAAATAAGATCAGTTTGAAAAAGAAATCAACCCCTGCCGCGCGCGTGCAAAGCAGGTATTCGACCATGGAACCACATTTCTTGAAGGTGCTTCGAAAAAAAAATAAAAAATCTGTATGCCACATTGTGGAATGAGTCTCCATAGCGCATGTAATGTGTGTCAGTGCATCGAAACACGTGAATCGCCAACAAGTGTGTTTAAATGCCCACTCCTACAAAACATTCAGGCATGCTATTCAGGCATCATCAGCCGCAAAAGCTTCAACGAAGTGAGCTGCTGTGCAGGTTCGCGTGTTACCCAACAGAAACGTCGGGGGCCCTTCGTTTATTCGCAAAAGGAAGAGTATAGTGGCGTAGTGGGTACTTTGCAAATGTGCCTGCGATGGGCATTCAAGGATAGTTTGAAACGGCCAATGTTACGCGTACAGTCATTCGTTTTCTTAGAGCACAGTTGAGGAGTGCACCGAGGATCGAAGGCAGGCTACCGATCGAGTAGGCGATGTGAAAGGGGCCAGATATAGATTATGCTATCAAGTTCCAGCGCTATTGAAGGTAAATATTAAGCATCCTACAAGTTCTTGCATAGTGCATTGAGTGCATTTCCTTACTTGTATATTGAAAGCTTACAGAATTTCGCTTTCATCACGTGTTTTCTTAACGACGCTGTTTGATTGTAGTTCTTTTTTATGTTTTCATATTTGCTCTTTTCATCTTCATGCGGTTTAGGGTTGTTTTTTTTTTTTTTTTTTTCAATCTTCCTTCAGTGAGTTATATAAGTACAGCAGGCGTGGAATGTATCTCCCCTAAGTTTAAATGAAATGCATTTTGTTTTGCACTGATGGAATTACTGTGCGGTCTTATGAATGTTCGAGGACGAAATGTGTGAAATCGAAGAAATAAAAAAGATAGATCGCAAACACCCACACAGAGCTCTTTTTCCATTGTCTTCTTTGCGCGTTTAGCCTCGAAATTTGCTAAATCAGCGCGCCCAGTTATGCATCACAAATTGCCTACGTCCTCTAAAAGTACTCCTCAGCTCCAGTCGTGGCTTTTAAACTTCTAACAGAAATTAATAGGCGAACTAGTGTGATAGTGTTCGCTTTGTGTTACGAATCAGCGAAATTCGGTGAACGCAAGCAACAATACATTCCTATCTCAGAAAGCTACCCAGTAATGCCTCGCATTGAGCAAGTACTAAATTACCTCATTACAAGAAATAATTGTTTACAGTTACTTACCATAACACTAAAGTTTCGCAACCAACCAACCAACTTACCAAATGGCGACTCGTAGATGCTGAGGCAAACGGACGCCGATACGTAGCCCAACATGGGCCCGACCAAACGCAGGGACATGATCAAACCTGTACGTGACAAGATCACACAAATGATTATTTTGCTTTGACACACTTATCAAAGTATCGAAATGCAGTCACTAATGCTAGATTGCAATTTTTACTGCGGATTCACTGAGTGCACGTTAAAATCTACGTCTTAACCAATCAGCTTATGAACGACTCTTCATATGCCGATTGTGAGTGCGATAAAACTACAGTAAGGTCTATGAGTATACGTACGTTGTTTACGAATACGAAGGACAAAGTTTTTCCGAAGGGGAAGTTCATGACTTAAGGGAGGCTATCGCTTACGATTAGTGTATTTATCGTATCAGCAGTGTACAAATAACATCATGGGTGATTGACTGGCTTGACAATCATTTTTATACGCTATACACAACTTCGGTGAGAGCTCCTTGAAAGGCGCCATTACTCTTCAAAACTTTGGATTCATTGGTACTACGCAAGAAGATATAGGAATGTTTTCAAACATCTCACTACACGAAATTTCGTTTTCTACGTCTTTTATAATTTTCCTGTGTTAACTAGGTAAACTTCATTGATTGTTTACCTAGTTATTAGACCCAGTCATAATTACACCAATGTCCGAATCCCTTTTCGTTCATCTCCTCACTCTCTCTCATATAAGATCATGCCACGAAATGTGCTTCCACCGGAAACCAAGACTTTTAGATGGGCCAATTTTTCGTATCTTCGACGTCATGCTCCAGCACTGAACTACTCCACCAGTGTATTCCTTCACTTTAAAAGCTGCAAGAAATGCATGAAAAATATAAATTGACCAGTACACACTATGGGCTGCAGTCACAACGAGAGATTGCCAAACATTCGAAACTTAAACACGAGCGCACTTCGGTGGTACAGTGATCGACATGCTCAGCTGCTGATGAGATAGTTGATCGACGTAGCGCGTTTAGAAACGTAGGACAAGGGAAGGCACAGAAGGGAGCGCTTACTTCCAACAAAATCTTTATTTCGAGGAGCGTACATATATATGCGCACGAAATTCGAATACAACAGACAAACAGATGAAAAACCCTCTATTGCCATGCGCTAAAAACTTATGATCTCAAAAACGACAATTCTTTTTCACAAAGACCAAGAGAAGGAGTGCTGACGCAGTTCAGCCCTAATCTACTAATCTTTTCTGCTTCAATAATCTCCCTTGTCACTTTATTTCTGTTTTTTCCCATGATTACCGTACCATGAAAAAGTGGTTTGCAGCCACACGTGCTGCAATGCAGTGCCAAAAAACCATCTCGACCATTTCTTACGTTGCAAGCGTGTTCGCGGAGCCGGTCATTAATGCACCTGCCAGTTTGTCCTATGTAGTATACTCTAGTCAATTGCTTGTGAGAGAGTCGCGGGTTCGATAGTTGCCACGGCCCTCGCATTGCAGTGGAGGCGATATGATAGAGTCCTGCTTACTGGGCGATGTCAAGTGCACGTAAAGAAACGGCGAATGCTCGAAACTTCCGGAATCCTTCACTTCGGCGTGGCTCAAAATCATGTCGTTCTTTTGGCACGTACAGACGGCTTTAGCTATCGGGCATTAGTGGCAGTTTTTGTGGCGTATTTTCGCCATGTGACTGAAATAAGTTTCAAAAAAGATGAGAAGTAGTGCATGCCTGCAAAGCACGCATCCACGAAGCAATCTTTTGTAACTTCGTTCCATAATATGGCACTGAGAGACAAAAAGAGGCGCTGCACACAATAGTTGAAATTTCAGCCAACTGTTCAACCACTCGAATAATAATAATAATAATAATAATAATAATAATAATAATAATAATAATAATAATAATAATAATAATAATAATAATAATAATAATAATAATAATAATAATAATAATAATGTATTCTTCTTCTTCTTCTTCATATTATTATTATTATTATTGTTATTATATTATTATTATTATTATTATTATTATTATTATTATTATTATTATTCAACACGAAATGACACCTTTAAACTCTCGCATTCAGGTACATTCACGTAAGCACTGCATAAACACATACAACACCTTTGGGTTGCCATTATGGTATCTTGCGTAACGTAACCGGCCTTAGAAATGAAATAAGTGCAAATGTGGACAGATGAAGCACTGACGAAAAGAAAAAAAAAACAAGGGGATCAGCTTCCGTAAACGATAACTCTAGAGTGCAATCTGCCGCTGGGGATCGTGCCCTTACAAGAGCACGTTTGGGTCTCACACAAAACGCACAAACATAAATCAGACTTGTATTAACGATAATGTTGAAAACAAAACAAAGAAAAAAATATATATAACTTGTTCGTGCCAAATTATTCGTTATTCAGTTTACCGTGGCTCTGGCATCAGTAATACAGTAAATTACGAATATTCGAACCAACTCATGCCGGCCACTGTGCTCTTCAGAAATATTGGTACAGGTTAGACATAATTAGGTAGAAGTTTTGATGAAGGAGGACTTGTAGTGCGATATAAAGATAAAAAATGCCGCACAACTTACTGAAGTAGACAGGAGAATTCTTCTTTTTCACGTTGTCATCAGTGTACGTAGCGCCCGAGATGTAAAAGGCCGTGCCACCGATACCGTTCAGGAAGTTGGCCAAAAATAGCAGGCACACGGCCACAATGGCCGTCGGTGCGGGCGTCTCGTCCCTCGTCGTGCTGGCCGCCACCGCCTCAACGACGTCCTGCTCAGCCTCCTTGCAAAACGATAGCTGCGCCCTGGAACTGCGCAACGAGGCCTCCGGCTTCGCACCGGACGCGACCTCTCCTCGACCTATGAATCCCGGCCCGTATATGAGGTACGGCAGCACGCTGCAGAAGCATCCCAGCACGGAGATCCAAACTCCGAACGCTATGATCTTTGGACGGCTGATCTTGGTGGCGTAGTAGCCGATGAGAAGGCTGGCGAACAGGGCGCTTATGTTGTCCGCTATGAGTATGACTCCGAACGTCTTGCCCGTGAGGCCGAATTTCTTCTCTAGGGTCGAAATGCAGCCGTTGAGGTACGCCTTGAGCGCCCCTTGGAAGATTCCGAACAGTGTGTAGAACAGGAGGAAGTAGTAAGCCTTCGCGAATCTCTGGAGCCATAGTGGTCTGCATCCGAAGACGCCGCACATGAAGTCCGGGTCCGTTTCACGTCTCGTGTGGTCTTCGTCTCCCGGATCTTTTGTCGGAACGGATCGAAACTTGAGGTCCTTTCTTGAGGGCATGATGTCTCGAGCAAGCTTCGCAGCGAAAGGAAGCACAAGTCAAACTAACTGAGAACTCTGGTAAACTAGCTTTTTTTTTCTACACTTGGCAATTGTCCGAGCCTCTGGCAGAACTTGGGAGTCCCGGACTTGTCCCGACACGTCACTCGGAGGTCTGGACGACGCGCTTCGTCTGTGTGTGTGCTGTACGAGTATTGGACGAGATGGGCTTTGAAGGGTCCGCAAAATCAGCCGGCGCCGTACCTATGATTGCCACTGAGTAAACTCCGGATAAGATCTAAATGCTTGTTTTCAAGATACTCCACACTCCGTGCATGGGAAGATACCGGGTCTTGCGATGTCTCTCAGCCCCCTCTCCTTGAGAGTATCTCTGGTAGCGTCACACTCTCCTTCATATATACTTATCATTTTCTTTTTCGGCAGCTACGTCATGTTATGCTGTGTGTCATGTGATTTATGAACGTACGTACGTAGGTAAACATACCCACTCGAGTGATAGTGGCGGTTTGCGACATAAGAGCATAACGTAGAACCCAGATCCTAGTAGCCTGATAGTGCATTTCAGTACTAGAAGCGTGTTTCCTTCCAAACTTCAGAACTATTGTCGACCGTGTGAAACCAACTTTCTGGGTGTTCGCCAAATGGTTGATGTCGAGAATGCTAGAGTCGTATGATGCCTTTGACATAGTGGGATGTAACAAAAGGAATAATTCTTTCTTGGGAACGACTCGGTGCCTCACCTTATTGGGAAGGCAACCGCGACCACGGTACGATTTGTGCATGAATTCGTCTTACCCCTCCCTGCCTCCACACAATACTTTTGAACGCGGTAGCGTCAAGGAGCTCCTGGCACTGTGGCGCTGGTGTCAGCGTTGGCGTCGTTGGTTTAGAGCGAAAAATTATCACGTTCTCCGAGACCGAAAATTAAGAAACATGCAGATAAAATAAATAATAATTTTTTTTGGGTCCGAGTGAGCATCTAACCCCTGTCGTCTGCGTGGTAATCAGGTGTTCTACCAAACACCCGCGATATTTATTCAAAATATTTAGGCAGAAAACATTATATGAATGTCATATAGTGTTTTTCGGTGTTCGCTGTTCAGTGCACCCAGTGATTGGAGGAGGGCTCATATTGTGCCCATCTTTAAGAAAGGCTCGCTTGTATAAAACTACCACCCCCCTCATTAACATCACCAATTTGTTAAATGCTCTGAACATGTAATACCTAAGCGCACTGTGGCATTTCTGGAGCAAAACTGTGTGCTGACTTATTTTCAGCATGGCTTTAGAAAAGGTTATTCAACGGTAACTCAGTTAGTCTCAGTGGTTCATTCACTCTGGATAAAAATGGTCAAATGGACGTCACTTTCCTTGACTAAATTTAGCAAAGCATTCGACAAAGTTGTTCATCACAAGGTATTTATAAAACTTAGGAAAATCAATCTACCCGACATATTCATTTCCTGGATACAACACCATTCATCACAACGTTCAAAGCTTGTTTCAATAGATGGGATCAATTCGAGCTCTCTTCTTGTTACATCAGGGGTGTCGCAGGGTATTGTCCTAGGACCACTGTTATTTTTAATTTATCTAAATAACATTGTAAACACAGTACTATCAAGAACTCAAATCAGATTATTCGCGGATGATTGTGTGCTCTTTCGTTAAATTACTTGTTCTAATGATCAAGAGAACCTGAATAATGAGTTACTAGTCTGGTGTAGTGACAATGATATGGTACTGAACGCACAGACAGAGTGAGATATAATATGAAGAAATGCAGGAAGGTTAACCAGAAAGCAAGTGTCTGGTTTGCTACCCTGAGCTGGGGAAGGGGGCATGGAAGACAGAAAAGAAGGAAAAGAGAATGAGAAAAAGAGAGCGGGACGGAAGCGAAAACACAAACACACTAAAACGTCACAGATGTTCGACGAGGTGGGTCGACCGCAGAAACTTCAGGAGGGCCTTCGTCGCTTTTTGGCGTGAAGCTCAATCTTTCCCGTATTCCAAAATTAATTTTCCGGAAAGCGGCTGGTTGTCAAGGCGTGCAAACACTGCTCACAGGGACTGTCTCTGACAGCTGAGGGCACTGACACAAAATATGTTCGATGGTTTCGTCAGCGCCGCAATGATCACACGCAGCACTGTCTGCCCATCCGATGCGGCAAGCAAAGGCATTTATCTCTGCATGACTAGTTCAAACACCCCTTCATTCTAAACACCTCGGCTAATCCTCACTACAACAGGTAAAAAACTACCAATATCCAGGCGGGACAATAACTGATGACCTGTCTTGGAACACTCACCTAGACAACCCATGTTCTTCTGCGTTCTGTAAGCTTCGTTTTCTAAAACCTAAACTTAGAAACTCTTCTAACGTAAGACTACTTAGTTTTTTTACGTACATAAGGCCAAAACTAAATACTCTTGTGTTGAATCAGACCCTTTTACTAAATCCAGTATTAAGAAAATCGAAGCAGTACAGAGAAAGGCTCTTAGGTTAGCTTATTCTAAGTTCGAACTCACGGACTCGCCGACTTAACTCATGACTGCTAACAACATTGAAACACTTTCATTACGACGAAAAATGAACCACCTTAACTTTCTATATCTGCTAGTTAGTCACAAGTTAGCTGTTGACCCGAGTGCATATGTATCTTCCCTGTCTACTAGGAATACACGTCATCATCATGCCCATTGTTGAACCCCGTATTTAGCCAAAACCGACGCAATGAAATTTTCTTTTTTTCCACGTACTGTATCAGAGTACTTCCTGACTGATCTCAGCCAACTTTTTGTGGTTTAGAGCTAAAATAGGCACTGTCAATTTGTGTTCTGTTTCTAGTTTTCATGTAACATTTTGTCACGTTAACTTTATGCGTTCTGTTAGTACGAGTTTTTGATTCTATATCCTGTGATATATTCTTACGTTATCACATGTGTTTTTTGTCTTTATAGCCTGCCTAGTACCTGTCCTGCTTGGACCAGTTCTTGGTCTGCAGTATTCCATAAATAAATAAATAAATAAATAAATAAATAAATAAATAAATAAATAAATAAATAAATAAATAAATAAATAAAGTGAAAGACTTCTTCTTGACGCAACATGTATTCCACGGCAGGAGCGTAGAGTCACATCAGTCGTCAAAAGCCGTGAATTGAGCAATGAGTGGGCGTTTTAAATTCTCACTCATTGTAAACCACTTAGACATATTTATGCATCATCAGCAGCTGAACCGTCAACAAAGTGAACATCTCCGTATAGGTTCACGAGTTGCTCAATACGAACACATAGTGGGTGGCCCATCGCTAATTTGCAAAAGGAATAATTATGACGCAGTGGGCGATTAACAAGCATGTTTACAGTAGCCATTCAAGAATACTTTGCAATAATCAATGTTACGCGCACAGCCCCGCAGCGGCGGTCTAGTGGCTAAAATACTCGGCTGCTGACCCGCAGGTCACGGGATCGAATCCCGGCTGCAGCGGCTGAATTTTTGATGGAGGCGAAAATGCTGTAGGCCCATGTGCTCAGATTTGGGTACACGTTAGAGATCCCCAGGTGGTCGAAATTCCCGGAACCTTCCACTACGACATCTCTCACAATCATAAGCTGGGTTTGGGATGTCAAATCCCACATATCAATCAATCAATAAATCAATATTACGCGCACAGTCATTCCTTACGTATCTTTACGGGATTATTGAGGGGTGCACCAGGAACCGATGTGGGCTCTTAGTTAAGAAAGGCGATTATCACGAGGCCCGATTGCGCTATCGCGATCTGCGCTTGAAGGCGGAGCTCAAGCGTCCAGCATTTTTTTTTTTCTATCAAAAAGAAAGGTTCGTATCTCAACTGCGGAAAAACAACGCAAAAAAGACGAATACACGGAAACACAGTGCACATATGAGCGCTTGACTTACAACTGACGTCTTTATTGCACCGATCGCTCTTTTTGCAGCGCGCCAAACCACGCACACAAATCCAATCAACTCGACCGCCAAACAAAAGCATCAGGTAGGCAAACTACGTGGCCACTGGAAGCTGGCACGTGTACATTAATTGCACCAGGCGCATGCATCTTACCCAGCTATGAGTGTACCAACTCGCCGAAGTCGAAGTCCTGTTCGTTTCTCGTAAGGTAACAGAAACTATAGAAACAGCCGCCATTTCCGACTGCCTTGGGAGACACTGTATTTAGATCACGTGCCTTCACAGCATGGTTTACAAGTTGCCACGGCACCCACAGTTATCCAGGTCGCATTCAAAAGTCTTCCATACGTTGTTTTTAGACTCACGATCATATATCAACGACTAAAAGGACCACGCTTCAAGCATCATGCTTGGGGGCGGTTTGGAGACTATTAGCCAAGAAACTATATACAGCCATCGGTTACCAACCTATATCATTCATGTAGTCTTACTAAGATTGCTTCAGTGGCATGTACCACTAATTCGCAATGAATTTCGCAAAGAAAAATTTTGTTCAAGCTTACTGTCGAAAGCGTAATGCTATAGGAGCGATTACCATCGCTGTATTATGCAACCTTTTCCACCTTTGTTTTGCCAAGTTGAAGCTTATGCGCCAGAGTGATCGGGTAATTTACAGCAGTCATTCTTCAATTCAAGTAATATACCTGGCATTACTGCAACACACTTCTTGTATGCCTAATATCAGTCTTCCATATCAGGCAGTTCCAAATTACCAGACTACTTCAAAACTCCATCTAAAAATCAGCGTGATACATAAATAAACGTGGCTAATAAACAAATAAATGGTACGCTGCACAGTCTCACATTTTGTGCCTTTTTTGTTTATGTTACGGCATGATTTGTCTACTAAGAGAAAAAGAATAGTCAGTGCCACCATAATGGCACCAACCTCTCCTATTTCATCAATTTAATAAAACAAATAAATTGGGCTTACATGAAGCAGGGTTTTGCACGAACTCCTCTTCGCACCAAGTGGTACTGTATATCTAATCTCTGAGTGGTCACTTGAGTGTTCTGATTCGTTTTTCTAGGCCCTA